TGCAAAAATGCTTTTCTTATTTAGATTTTTTTGTCTTGATTCTAGTCCAAATATTTAAAAATTCTTATATTAAGAAGCATTTTTCAGACAAGCGAAACATATTGTCTTGTTTTCAGAAATAACATGCCAATATTTAATGGGTTTTCCCTTAAAACAAGCTAAATAATCTGCCAATGGGGTAAGCAAAATAATCTTGTTTTTTCCTTTTGACCTAAGATTATTTTGCTCACCCCGTTAGCAGATTATTTAACTTGTTTTAAGGAAAAACTCACTTAATTTTGGCATATTATATCTTAAAACAAGACAGTTTGTTTTGCTTGTCTATAAATTTCTGCTTGATTTAAGAGTGTTTAAATATTTGGACAAGAAACAAGACAAAAAATCTAAGTAAGAAAAGCATTTTTTGCAGTTTACACAATTACTTGTACTTCAGACACAATGACTACAACATGTAAATAATGCACCAACCCCCTGAACCAATTCTGCTAAACTACAAGCACAATTCCTGCTCTAGACTTTAATTGCAGGTTTAAAACACACTTTTTTTTTCAAAACACTACACACAATTCTCTGCATTTTGCACAATTTTCATGCAGAAAATCTTGTTTTCACAAGGAACACACTGTCACAATTGTAAATTCAGTCGTCCTACTTTGCATACCAACTCATCACATGAGTAAACACCTGTCACACAGAATTTGGAAATCAGAGCTCATCTGGTTCACAACTAGTTTATCTCCCCCTCCATATTCTCCATTCCTCGAACCTATTGAGAATTTTTTTTTTCTGCCTGGAGATGTAAAGTGTATGACCGACATCCACACACACATATACCTATTTTGCAAGCTATAGCAGTTGATGCTTTTCGTGGCTGGATTCTTCAGGCGAAGTGACATTTCCCTCACTGCTTGGCCAGACCAAAACAGAAAAGAGGATGCAGTGCTGTATTTTATTTATTTATTTTATTTTTTATTTTTTTTATTGTAACTGTATTCTGTAAATACTTGTTGATGGTACATGTAGACCACGGTATCTGCAGCTTTGTGTTGGTTGGAATGAACACTGTGTACTCTGTTTTTGTGGGAAAATACAGTAAAATATATTTGGTATTGTTTTCACAAACTAATTTCGAGAGGAGCACGTGACATGATAGACTGCAGCTGGCCACTCATCTACACTCATTGGCTAGCCAATCAGATTGATCCAAACTCACTATAAGTAACCTAGCTAAGATCTACTCCCTTATCTTCGTTTCCCGAAGAAACCCCCCATCCACCCCTTCTCCTCCTTTCCTCTTTTGCCGAGGGGAGCTCTCGAGAACACCTGACCTCGTACTCCCCTCACATGCCCTATGGACCTGGCGGGAGCCCTGGGCTCAACTATTTCCGAGCTCAGGGTTCTCTCCCGGGACAGCATGCCAAACCTGCTAACTTGCTAACAAGTGTCAAACAGTATCTAAGTGTGAACTCTTGAATTTGTATAAAAACAACACTCTGAAATATTTTACAATGCACTTCTGTAGGCCAAAAAAAAAAGGCTTACAGAAAGTCATAATAATGAATAGAGAAGAAGTGATCATTGTGTTTTACATTAGAGTATAAATACATTTGAGAAGAAAGCACACTGTTTTGAACTTGCAGAAGCATTGAAGAGTTTTGCCCAATGTGTGTGTGTGTTTTGTGTGTAGAGTTCTGAAAATACAGAAAATATTTGTCGCTAGAGCACCTTTAGAGGTCAGAGGAGTGAGGTTTACCTGCACAGAACTCACTAGCTGGCCTCTGTTACATAAACAATAGGAAAAAACTGTAAAACAAGACAATATGTGTTGCTTGTCTAGAAAATGCATCTTGATTTAAAATAAAAAAATTGTAGATATTTGGACTAGAAACAAGACAAAAAAATCTAAGAAAGAAAAGCCTTTTTTTGCAGTGTTCTTGCATCGCTGCTACCTCCATCTGGTCACAGGTCTCCTCCTGTCATGGCTTGGATGAGGGATACCTCAGCTTGGAGATGGAGATTATACACCTTCCACCACCACGCTGAGAAAAATCTCTTCTATAGGGTTGAGGAATGGAGAGTATGGTGGAAGATATAGGACGATGAATTGTGGATGTTGCTGACACCAGTTCTGAACCAGAGCAGAGCGATGGTAAGACACAGTGTCCAAGACAACAATGTATTGCATATGATCGATTTGCTGATTTTCTTACTCTTTCCCTGACACTTTCCATTGTGCTTGAAGACCGATGAACTCACCTGCTGCTTTTTATAGTGCTTAAACACCTGATTGGTGTGTCTACAATTAAGCAAACAAGTGTTTGCACACCTGATGACCCAATGCTGAACCAATTGGTTGGACGGCGCGGTAATTTGACAGTCAGTGCTTTGGTATTGCTAAGAAGTGATTTCATGATAGATTTTAGTGTGTATTGTAAGTTAAGTTTGTTTAGTGTTTTGCAAATCACTGCGTGTAGAGTTTTGCAACAAGTGTGAGGTTGTCAATGTGCTGATAGTTGCGCAAATATGGGCTGATGTTTTGCTTCTTGTGTGTAAGGTTTTGCTAATAGTGTACTACTTTTAATTTTAGTGTGTAAGCAATCCAGTAAAACTGTACTACAGACATATAGGCCTACAGAAGTGCATTGCAAAATATTTCAAAATAATGTTTTTATACAAAACACACAAATACCAAATATATGTGACTATATTTTCCCCACAAAAACACAGTGTTCATCTTAGCCAACACAAAGTTTTACATAATATGATCTACATATGCCATCAACAGAAGTATTTACAGAATACAGTTACAGTATATATATATATATATATATATATATATATATATATATATATATATATATATATATATATATATATATATATATATATATATATATATATATATATATATATATATATATATATATATATATATATATATATATATATATATATATATATATATATATATATATATATATATATATATATATATATATATATATATATATATATATATATATATATATATATATATATATATATATATATATATATATATATATATATATATATATATATATATATATATATATATATATATATATATATATATATATATATATATATATATATATATATATATATATATATATATATATATATATATATATATATATATATATATATATATATATATATATATATATATATATATATATATATATATATATATATATATAT